GAGAATATTAAATATATTAAATGTGAACAATCAATGTTTGGATGGATAGCCAGCATGTTCGGCTCCCTTAATGGTTAGTAGAATAAGAAATGGAATACCGTTTATGCCGTTTATCTGAGACCCGTATACCGTTCCGTTTAATTTTACCGAAAAACACGTATACCGTTTACCGTTTAGCTAAACGGTTTTGTGCAACCCTAGTTAATGGAATAAAAGACTAAAAATTATTACGCCCCCCGCCCCTGTAACTTACAGATTTTGTGAATTTTGTTAACCCTTGGCGGCCGATCAATGTTAGAGACTGAACATAACTGTACGAGTTACTAGAAGTAATTACGAGGACATTTGAATGATAAACAGGAAATACCGGATGATTTGGGAGAATTAAGAGAGATTGATTTTGCGTAACCCTACCAAAATATAAGATCACATTCCCCCAAGACAGTCTAACATCAACTTAGTTAGACTGTCTTGACTGTCTAACATCCACATCCATGTAAGAGTTTTCATCTTTCAGATACGTCCGGTTTACTACTTTCTTTATTAAATTCTGTTGAGATTATCCCGGTTGCATTTCTCTTTGTTTCGGTACAGAGAATAAAATTTTGGAGGGATTTTCATGGAAATTTTTAATAAGGTATACCTAAAATTCCATAACTTTCTTAATCCTTAATCCAAAAATTTTTGATTTTACTATATAGTATGATAGAGAATATCGAATAGAGAATATCGAAGTTTCATAATAATTATTATTCATGATAAAATTATTATTTAGGCGAATCTATAATATATTAAATTTGTTTATCTAATAATTTAATTTAACAATTTCAGTTAAATTAAACATAAGGATATTAACATAAGGATATAACAACATTATAGATAAACAAATTTAATATATTATAGATTCGCCTAAATAATAATTTTATCATGAATAATAATTATTATGAAACTTCGATATTCTCTATTCGATATTCTCTATCATACTATATAGTAAAATCAAAAATTTTTGGATTAAGGATTAAGAAAGTTATGGAATTTTAGGTATAAAATGAGTAAAATGAGTAAATTTTTTAAAAATAATGAGAATTAAATAAAGTACGGTAACTTTTTTATCCACCCTGTAATACCTATTTCGGGGGAATTATAATTTTGAAAATACAAAAATTATCGCCTGACCAAAAAAGACTAATTTAAGTTTTCCTCTACCGATTTCAGATAACAGTAATACCTTAGTTTGGCAAATTATTAAACAAATATTATAAAATAAATATGCCTACAATTTTAGGAATGAATAAACTTTATTTTGTTGTATCAGAAAATACATTCAACAAACCAACAAATGATTGTTCTACTTTTACTTCATTTTATTTTGAAGTAAAAATTAAATTTGAAAATGAAAATAAAGATGATATTTTGATGGTGTTTGGTCTTATTAGGGATAAGGAAATGGTTTATCTTAGCAAAACTTGTGATGCTATTTGCTATGGACATATGGGACAAGTGGGGAAAATTTCAGTCCCGTCATTAACATTTAACGATGGTGATACTTATGGTTATGGAATAATTTATTCACCAACAAAGATGGCTGAAATATCACCAACACGTATTTTCTGTACTCAAAATGGTAAATTAATTGGTTAGTAGTTTAATATAAAAAGTTCCATTTCGAAATTGAAAGGAGGGGATGGCTTTCAGGAAATATTCTAAGCGGAAGAATTTTATCATGGTTTAAGGCACATCCGTTGATTGCCTAAGCAATCGTGATCTTTTGTGCGAGATAAATCAGTTCCCAGTTAGTCAGTCTTTAATATATTGCCACAAAGAGGAAGCACACCGTTGTTGCTTGGTAAAGGCTTAGCTAAGGTCTGGCCAACCCATTATCTTTTCTTAGGGATTATAATGGTTTTATATGCCTAGGTTTTTCTAGAATGGACCCAGCATACTTCCACATAATTATGGTTCGCCTCCAAGTTATTATAGGGATAAAAAATATTAAAAATTTCCTAAACAAAAATCCATAAAAACAGTTCATTGAATGGTGTCGACTTGGATAAAATTTTTAAATTACTTTTTTGTTAGGTAAAGCCGTGAAAGTAAAAGATCACAGTTCTTACCAACCTTTTATTAAACTCAAACTTTGTTCTGCTGAAACTAATTTTGGAAATGATTTAACTACCAAACCTTTCAAATATGATATTTCTAAACATGTTGTGACTGATGAATTTTATAATTAAATCAAAATTTGATTTTTTAATTAAAAAAAAATTTTTTTTGATTTTTTACATTTACTCAGAGAATTTTATCTTTTTTAAATTTTTTTCTCATTAACTTTTTCATAATAATCTCTTACTGCAAAAGTTTATTTTAATGACAGCCACGGGATTTTTTCTATAATTTTTTTATTTTCAGAATTAAATTCTTGATTCACTCCCTCAAACATTTTTAAATTTCACTCCCTTCCGGTTCTCCCAATTTTGAGTTTGCCGTCATTATTTCACATACTTTTGCTAATACTTACATACATACATATTTCTAACTTGATTCTTTAAACATTTTTTCTAACAATTCTCTCCATTGTTTTTTCTCTTTAATTTTTTTAATTTTAAAAATTATTATTTTTTTAGCCAATAAAAAATTTTTTCTAAACTTGTTTTTTATTAAAAACCAAATATCCGGAAGACCAAAATTCTTAAAATATCCGTCCACAAATATTTACTCTCGAAGTATAAAGAACAAAATTTACATTTAAATTTTCTCATTTTCTCTCATAGAAAGTAAAAAGAGTTCACAAAAACATAGACTAGTTCCTCTTACATATTTTTCCCAGACTATGAAATTTCAAATTTTATACTTTGTTGGATAAGGAAGAAATCCTTTTATGTTAAACAACATTTTTTGTTTAATATTTTTAAAAATTTGTTAGATTATTTAAAATTTATTTCCGGTTCTCAATAACTAAAATTGTTTTGTGGTTGTCGGTATTTTTTAGTAAAATCAAATACCGTATTTTCTCGATTAATTCCCCTGGGGAATTATTTTTTCAACCCTTCCTTGACATGGGGAATTAATCGAGGGAGGGGAATTATTCGTGGGATGGGGAATTAATCGAGAAAATACGGTATTGAAACAAAATACTGGACTAGAAGGGTCGTTAAAAATTGAGACGGTGTCTCGAGAAATATCGATCTCGATAACCAAGATTTCTTTTTTCAAGATCTCGTCTCGATTCGGTCTCTAATTGAACCCAATTTTCGAAATTAGGAAATCTAATTGAACATTTAATGGGAGACCTGAAAATGGCCGTTAGTGAAAACAGTTTTTTTTTTGATAAAATTCAGAGACTCGAGAATTATAAAATCGGTCAGGACAGATAAAATCGAAAAAGTATAAATTCTGCAAATTCAAAAAAAATTTTTTTTCTACCCAATCATTAGATTATCTAAAGAAAAAATCATGGAGTTTTGAAACATTAAAATAAAAAAAAATTTTATAGTAGAAAAAATGTTTAAGGTACGTAAAACCTGTATTAATTACTCTCCCTCAAATAATTAACCCACTTCTATTAATTACCCCATCCAGCAATGGATTGAAACAATAATTACCCCCCCCCCAACAAATGCCCTAAAACACGTTCAAATTTCAAACACGTATAATTACCCTCACTCGATTAATTACTCCCTCTAGCGGAAGGTTGAAACAATAATTACCCAGGGTAGTCTCTCTTAACTCTCTTAATTTTTAAAAATCCCTCTCTCAATTCCCTCTCTCCCTTTTTTTCTCAAAGAGAATTTATTTAAAATTACATGTGATCTGCTTTAATGGCACTTTTATTCAATTAAAATCAATGTCTTGTTTAAATGTGAATTTGCCTTCCCAGACAGCTTTAAAGGAAAAAACATTGATTTTAAAATAAATATTTCTCCTTTTAATGTCTACCTTTTAAAATAAAATTTTTAAAAATTAAAAAATGCTTTCAACAGAAAGTCAGGCTTCTTCAAATTATTTAAATTCGTCTTTAACGGTACCTGAATTTTATAAAATTCATAGTAACCCTGTCGAAACACCACCTTCAAATCTAGTAATTTTAAAATAATTATTAAAAACTATCGTGATCTAGGAAAATGTTGGAGAGATAATCAGAAAATCTAAAAACAATTATGTCCATATTTCAGCGTTTATTTATGTTATACGATTTAGCGTAGCACCCAGAGCCTTCGGGGGCGGGATCGGTGTTTGCCGAGGTAGAGCCGTCGGAGTTCGAGTCGGAGTTTTTGCCTAAAAGTTCATCGGGGGTCGGGATTTCGGGGAACGGGGTGCTACACTAATACGCATCCATATACTTACTAAAGATCGGAAAACCTTGACCTTGATTCTTGATTTTGGTTGAGAACCTTAACCAGATTCTTGGTCTTAAAGAAAAATAAAGGTCTAGAAACGCTGAAAAATGCTTTAATCTTGCCTTTGTATCCAGGAAGAAGTAAGTTTAAGGCCGATCTCTAATACTATATATTCTTGATTGATGAACCTAAAATGTATTTTTTCTCGGTTCTAAGAGTTCTTAGGATCTCCGCAGCCGAACCTAAAACCAAACCAAAAATTTTCGGTTCTTCAGTTCTGTTACGTGAATTGACATCTCGATTAGTCAGAATTACATTAGGTGAGGAAATTATGTAGTTGAGGGGGGGGGGTACCTCAGAATAGCTTTGTAAACCGGTAGTTCCCTCAAATTGAATGAGTCATAGCAATTAAAATTTAAACTTCAAAATACGTAGAATTAAAATTTTTAAACAGACAGACTTGCGTGATGGATTGGGGCCTGATGTTTTATTGCAATTTAGCAATATTCAATTAAAATTATCAAATGGAACTGTGGTAAACTTTTAATATAGAGAATTTATTTTTAGAATTTTTTGGTTTAAAAATACTCGTTAAGTAGAACCAGGACGGTACCGTATTACCGACGGCATTTTTGGGAGAGAATTTATCGTATTTTGAAATAAGGTCAGGCTACAAAAATATCAGTTTAGAAGAATTCCAAAAAAAAATTTTTTTAATTTCCAGACTAGCCACCTTGACATTCCCTCACTTCGTTCATTTTGTTCAAGTCAGGATGTATCCGATTTTGCAAAATCCTTGGGGGAATATATTGCAGAAATGGATTATGCCCCTATGTAAGTCTCTTCAGCTGTCAAAATATTTCAAAAAATTTAAGACCAATCAGCAGCAATATTACAACTTGGTTTTTACTTGCAGTTTTTATTTTTGTAGGGCTTTCTGGATTTGTTGGAAATCTGTTAACTGTTATGGTGAGGAAAAACATGTCTGAATAAAAAGTAAAGGCGTCGCTTAATGGGCTACATGGTGTTATAACTTTATGATATAACATTCAGGAGAGATCAAACACTTGATTCCCGATCTGTATCCGTTTCCTGATGGATATTCTTATTTAGGGAATCAAAATTCCCTATCCAAAAATACAACAACTACCACTTTCAATACAAGTCTAATATTTACAGAAATAGTTAAATAAAACATTATCTTTATTTTTGCATATTAAGTAAATCTATTCATTAATTCATCGCTTATCTCTGTCCCCTTAAATTTTTCCTTTTCAGGTAATCCATCGAAACCCTTCATTTCATTCCCAAACCAACTACTTTCTAGCTAGTTTAGCTATATCAGATCTTCTTTTGATACTCGTTGGTGTCCCTTTTGATGTTTTCTTTTTATGGAAGTCCAGATTTATTACTTCACCTTTTAATGGATTTTGTGAAATAACAAGTAACATTTCCCTTCAAAATTAGAAAAAAAATATTTTTTAGGTACATTCATTAGCTGGTTTACCTTCAATTCCATTCTCACTATTGTCAGTCTCACCTGGGAAAGATTGGTGGCTATTTGCTACCCTTTCAGTCTAAAACCTTTTTTCCATCGAGATGCCGTGGTAATATTGAAATAATTTTTTGATATAATTTTTAAACTCAGATTTGGTTAATTATCATTATTTGGTTCATTTCATTTTTTCCATCATTATTTATTGGTCTGCAGGTACGATTAAAAATAATTGGATATGTCACACATTCACATCTGATACACTAACACTTTACCTTCTTTTTTTTCGTTATAAAATTTTTTATGGTTGCTACAAATTTGTTTTATTTAAGACAAATTATAAATATAAAAATATATATTAAGTAAAATTTAAAAAAAATTTCGACGCTTTTTCAATAAGAAATAAATAAAAAATAGGGGTGACCTTATAATCTTGGAAGAGAGTGTTTAGAATTAATTTAACATGATAAGTGTGAGGAAATAAATATTTTTCTTTATCGAACACAAATAAATAAAATGTGAAACAATAAAATAAAACTCCTGGATCCACAGGGATCACTTATGGAGAGGTATCATACAAAAAAAATCAAATACAATAAGACGGTTATTTTTTAAAAAAAATGTTAATTTAAAAATAATAAGCTAAAAAGAAATAAATATATATAAATGGACTCCACAGAAAAAAAAAATATGAATGAATGTTTAAATGTTTAAAAAAAAATTTTTTTTTTAGGTAAAAAAATATAAAAATATTGAATTAGAGTAAATTTTATTTAACTGTTAAGCAAATATTTAAATAAGAAAGTGAACATTTAGTTTAGGATAGGTATTATTGTTAATACACTCCATTAAATCATTACTCATATATTAGGATCTTCTGTACCTTATAATCTTGGAAGAGAGTGTTTAGAATTAATTTAACATGATAAGTGTGAGGAAATAAGCAATATATTTTCAGTTCAAGCTTGTAATACAAGATTTTTGTGGCCATACACATGTAAATTCAAATGGATTAGGCAGCAAGTGTGATTTTGTTGGTTGGAGTGGAAATTATGGAAGTGGAGAAAATTATACTTTTGAGGTGAAAAAGTTGAAATTAAAATTCTTCCGCCTCTTTAAAATGCGGCACTAATGTACTCGGGGTTTTTTGATTCATATTACCCGGAACCGCCAGCCTTATTCGGCATGGCCCATTCTTAATGCATTTTATATGCGGATGTGCACTAAGGAATAACTTAAACTTGATATTATTACTTACAAAGGAGAGGCTTTTGGGTGTCCGAAGACCCATGGACACTCAAAAGCCTCTCCTTTGTTAGGCCTGGCTCCTTTGTTAGGCCTGGGTTGTGTAGTGGGCAGTTTGTATCTTTCTAACAGATTTCCATGGATATTTTTGGCTTCCATACAAAAATCCCCCAGCAACTCCTCCTCAAACTATTTAAATTATTTCAAAAAATCCCCACCAAGTCCCTCTCTTGTGTTTAAATTTAATAAACTATCAGGTTATGCTCTTCTTCACATTTGTTCTTCCTGTTCTTTTTGGTCTGTTAACTTCTAAAATTCCCAAAAAAATTTTTTATTTCAGTAATATATTGTTACATTCGAATTTTACGAACCCTAAACGAGGCAACTTTTAATTCATTCCATTTAAATGCCGGAAGTTCAATAGTCCGTAAACACACTAGCAGTTCACACACTAACAGCACATTACTTAACGCTTTAACAGAAGAGAATTTGCCTTCTACTATCAATAATTCTAATAGCAATACAGCTGGGAATAATTCGGATTTGAATGCTAGAGACTCTTTTACAAGAAGTTCCCTACGTAGTCAGAGGGCTCATAAGACAGTTATGAAGATGTTGAGTGAGTTTGTCTTTTTTCCTTTAAAATTAAAGTTAGGTAATGAATCTGTCCCTTTGATTTCTATGTATTATTCTAGCACTGGGACATTCTCCTATAAATTTAAAAGTGATTAGGAAAATTCTGAATTAACAGGATAGACTATGTTTATTGTTAGCTATGACTAAGTAGGCCTATATATACTAGAGCTGATCTGGGTTATGAATTAACAAGATGGACTGAATTGACTTTAAATTAAGACTTGGAAGACCTATTGTATATAATAGCTACCGGACTGGGAATGTCGGACGAGAATTTACGACATATGTATGTAGCTCGAAGTCTCTATAACAATGATAACCGAGACTTTCCTTCTAAATTTAGTCGCGATCCAGTCTCTATATATACTACCACAATATTTATTATATGAATTTGTGATGACTAGAAGACAAATGACTGGTCAAATTTTGTTAAAAATAAGATATCCAAGAGACTTCCCAAATTTTTTCAAGACTTCTTAAAGTAGTAAGAGTTCAGGAACCTTCGACCTCCTGTAGTTATTGCTAGGCGCTTTCGCTCACCACATACAGGAGCTCTACCAATGAGCTACCGGGGCATCGACTAATGCTTTCTCTTTTATCCTTTAGATCATTTAACCCCCGCCTAAGCGTTTTAAATGCTCTAGGTGAACTATCCTTACAAAATTTCTCTTTAATTTTTCCCTTCTAGTTATGATTGCCGCTCTATTTTTTGTCTGCTACCTTCCCTATCATTTGGAACGCTTAATAGTAAAATACAGCGCAAAAGGCTGTACTGAACCGCAGATGTGTCTTTGGCTTTATCATGGTACTGGATTGCTTCAATATATTAGTGCTGCTTTGAACCCTATAATTTACAATGTTATGTCAAGGCGATTCAGAAGGGAATTTAAACTTCTTTGCTACAGAATTGTGAAAAAAGAAAATGTGATTAAAAATCGATCTGATAATAATAATCATCTTAAAATGACTCCAATGAATAGATTATTGTAAAATAAAAATGTGAATTTAGTTTAAATTGAAATGGGGAATAAAGAGCGAACGCTTCGACTTCGGAGCCCAAATTTGATAAAAGTCGGTGCTGGTGTCAAAAATGTTAGACTACCTTATATCCTTTGATAAAACCTGTATAATTTGCGTACCTGTGTAATTATTGTTCGACCTTCCGCTGGAGGGAGTATTAAATGAGGGAGGGTAATTATATGAGGTTTCAAATTTGAAAGTGTTTTAGTGTATTTGATGAAGGATAATAATCGGTGGAATAATCGGTATCACTGGAAGGAGCAATTAATTGAGGGAGGGCAAAAAATCGAGTAATACGGCATATTGTCCAATTTTGAAGCCTTATTTCACAGCACATCAAACCTGTGTAATTTGCGTACAAGAAACGTCCAAGATCAAAAATTCTCCAGGACTTATTTAATTAGTTTTACCTCACTTACATTTTTAGACTTGTTGGGGCCGTATGCCTTTGGTTCCAAAATTAAAAAGATAGCCTTATCCCAAAACAAAAGTTCCAACAAAAACAAATCGGATTAAAGTGCCGAAAATTTAATTTTTTAATGAAACCAATTTAACATACACAAAACAAAAAACACTATATAATTTTAAAATTAACTTGTCTCTTTTAACCTATCAAAAAATTATATATCCTCTCCTCCCTTCAATCACCTATTTCGTTAAAAGCTTCAAATTTTCAATACACTGATCCATATATTTTTCTCGAATGTTTCCCTCGTTCATTTCGATCATTTTACGAACCTGAAAAATTTAAAAATATTACAAAATCATTAAAAAAGTGTCCGGGGCAGGACCGAAACCTTTTTTCGTGATTTAAAACCGGACCGGATTAATTGTAAAAAATCGAACAGACCCGATCCGGCAAGAATGTTAAATTTTAAATTTGGTTTCCGGATCCGAAAAAATCATTTTGGCTGTCATTAATAAAATCGATAATTTAAAATTTAAAAGCAAGGGCGTATCCAGGGGAAAAACAAACCCCTTCCGCTAGAGCCCTCCCTCCCAGAAATGGAGGAAAGGGGAAAAATTGGAAGAAGTATGGTCGTAAAAGCCCTCCCCTCCCCCAAAACCAACCTAATAGATAGGCCCTTGTTGAAAAGCCTAATCTTGTTACTTCCAAAAATTATTTAAAATTCCCCGAAAAGCAAGGGGCTGGGGTGCTATAGCCCCCCCCTCCCTCGAAATGGGGGAAAGGGGGAAAAATTGGAAGGTCGAAAAAGCCACCCCCCCTCGAAACCGACACACTGGATACGCCCTTGTTGAAAAGCCTAATCCTAATAATTCCAAAAATTATATTAAAAAACCTCCCTCAAAAAAAACAAACAAACCCCTTCGGTAATAGTCTTCAAATAAACTTCTTTAGCAAAACGCTCTTTAGTCTCCTGAACTTCCTTCAAATAATCTAAGCGTCTTTTAAGCTCAACCCAAGCATATTCAGCATTTTTACGATAAGCAGACTCTAATTGGAGAGCCAAATTTTCACGCAAAATTGTTGGGAAATTTTCTTGGGTTGCTTTGAATGAATCCGATTGTTCTTTTGAAAACTGGAAAAGATAAAAAATTAAAAAAAAATTTTTTAAATAAAATTAAATTCCAATGCCTTTGAAGTCGAAATTTCGTTTGTTGGTTAAGGACAGAATAATTATTCCAGACAGGGCCATAGCCTGGATTTTTTCGGGAGGGGGGCCAAGGGATGAACATTTTGAGAGTCCCCTCCCCAAAATTTTCCCATTTCTGGGGGGGGGGATTCCCTACCCCTTGGCTACGGGCCTAATTCAAGACAAAATTTTCTCAATTCTGATAAAAATTCTCACTTTTATTAAACAATTATAAAATCAAGAATTAATTGCATTATCCCACCCCTCCAAAAATTTCCTTTTTCTCTTAAGAACAGAAAATGGTTAATAAATAAAAAATATGAAAAAATACTTTTCAGATAACCCTTAAAATTTACACTAACTATTTTGGAAATTGTGGAGGGGTGGGATACTGCAATTGATCTAATCTTGGTTCTCTAATTATTTAATGAAGTCGGAATTTTGTTCAGAGTTGAGAAAATTTATTCTAAATTCCCAACGCTATTTATTCCCCAAAGGTTTCCAAAAAATCTCAATTTGGTCAGAATTCTTGTTTAAACTAGGGTAGCACTCCAGCCTTCGGGGTCGGACGGTCGTCGGAGGTGGGGGCGCTATCCTAGTCTAAACTCAAATTAAAAAAACCTTTCTAAAATCAACAGCTTCCTTCAATTCACTCTTAATAAAGTCTTTTCTCTCATCCATTTGATTTTTATACCATTCATAATAATTTTTCTCAAGTTTGTCTGAAAAGAATTTTGTAAAAATTAATTTAAATTTAAAAAAACATCCAAAACAATGCTTCAAAAACAAATACATGGGAATGAAAATATAAAGTAATGGCACTCCATGCTCATCAAAACAAAAAATTTCTTTGTTGACAAAAAATGCGGCGATTGTGAAAATTGTCATGTATGGACCTAAAAATATTTTTTGGAGGGAAATTAAATTTATTTTTTATTTGAAATAAAAAAAGCCAAATTAAAAAGATTTTTTTAAAAATTGAAGAAAAAGCCCGTTCAAGTTAAACGACTTATCGAAGTATATTCAAAAAGCAAAGGAATAGGAGCAAAACTCTTAAAAATCTATGACCCTAAATAAGACCACCACCTTACTTTATTGTTACAAAAAACTTTTAAAAATTTTCCTTGACCCATTGAACCCAAAATCAGTTTAAATATTCTCTAGGTCACTGAATGTCCTTTTAATTGAGAATCAAATTTGGGACAAATAAATTGGACAAGGCGAACATAAAATAAAATTATTTAGAAACGAAATTTGATCCCAAAAAGTATGGACCAGGGCTGGACGCAATTGCCTAACACTGCGTGTTTTTTTACTTGCGGATGCGCCTGCAGATTTTAAAATTAAAATTGCAAGTTGCGGCTGCAGAAAAATTTTTTCAATTGCGTCCACCCCTGGTATGGACAGTTATTTGCCATTTTCTAAATTCATTAAGGTCATTAAATTCTGGGAACTAACAATTAAACCCAAGCCTAAGTATCCCCCCAAATTTTTATGAAAAAAATATAAACCAGAAGTCCCCGTCACTTTCTCGATAGCTTTGCACCAACTATCAGGAATAAGAACAAATCTATTCTTAGCAGGATACAGTTGCATTTCCGGATACGGAAAATTGACCTAAAATTGAAGTAAAAATTCAAAAAAATTAAAAGAAATACCAAATCCCGCTCCGGAAATTCCTTAAAATCCTTTGGAAGGCTAGGCAACGGCTCATGATGCAATTTCTTCCCAATATTTGCAAGAATCGTCCCAGACTGATCCAAAGGCTTTGTGTCGTTGAAGAATTCCAAATAATAGCTCAGACCCTAAAATTTTGTTTGAAAGAAGGAAAACTAAAAAAGCCAAAAAAAAACCTTTTTTTGTTTTGGTTCAACAACTGGAGTAGTTGTTGAAGCATAATTACGAATTAAAATATTTGAAACTAAAGTCCTTTTTGAAAGCAAAATTTTGTCCAACATTTTTTTGTGATTCTAAAAAATCTAAAAAAATTTATTAAAGAAAGTTTATTGTTTAGAAGGGGAGAAGGAGGAAAAATTTAGAAAAAAATGAAAAAAATGTGTAATATTGAACCGGACAGACACCCTTTTCCTCCCCAATTTTTCCCCTATATTTTACAAAATTCTCAGACTTTTTCCTTTCTTCCATTCCAATTGCCTTTCTACAAAGCCTAATACATGCCAAAAACAAGTAAAAAGAGGAAAATATAGGGGAAAAATTGGGGAGGAAAAAAGGGGGTCTGTCCGGTTCAATATTACCGAAAAATGGAAAAATGTACAAACGTATAGTAATTATCAGTCAAAAATTTTCAGATTAAATAGTAAATCCGAAGATTTTCATCTAGTTAAACAACAAGATAATAGATATCGAGACTTTTGAAAAGCCTGAGCCTGTTTCTAGGTTTGGGGCTTGATTTATTGCCCTGGGCTGAATCCTAGGCCTGTAGTCCAGGAAAAACACAGAAAGACAAAAAATGCCCGGGCCTGGACTCAGGGTACAGGGAAAACCTAGGCCTTGGTCCAAACCCAGCTCGAAGATGATGAAAATCGTGCAGGAAACAAAAAAATCTCCCAAAAAATCTCCTTATCCAACGAAAAAATTTTTTTAACAAAACGCCAAAAAATTATATTATGCCAAAATTTTTGTATTTTTCTCTAATGTCTCTCCTTTCTTCATTCTCTTTTCCTTAAAATTTGTAAAATTTTTTCCTTTTTTTCTAGTTTTTTTTTCCATTTTTTCAATAAATATAAGATTTTCAATTTATATTTTTGTTAATTTTCAGATAACTTTCTCTAGCAATGACAACAAATCAACAAACTGAGCAAATTCAGAATATGGGCAAATTATTCAAATTACAAGGGAAAATTAATTTTTTAACTAAAGAAGTTTCTGAAGACGAATTTTCTGGTGCTGGAGGTTTGGTTTAGATTATTAGAAAATTGAAAATTTTTTGTATCCAATTTCGATAGGATTCCAAGTGATTCTTTAATTTTTAGTTAGGGAGAGACTCACGGGTCTAGAAAGAATGCCTTGGCTCTGACAAGGGAACGTCGATTATTGAGACTGTGAATTTAGTATTGTTTCTTGGTACCATTCGATAGAGGACCTTCGATTTCCTATTGCTAATTGTTATCGCTTTTCTTGATAAATGACTTTGGGACCGATTTATGGCCGTTCAAAGTTTCAGTCCTTGAGAGTGATTGGGTATGAGGAAACGAGGTAAATGAAGCGAACTAAGTCCTAATTTTCATTCTTTGCTTTCTTTACATTGTCTTACAAAGAGTAAAAATAAAGCAAAAGTTACGACGAAGAAAGAGGGGAAGAAAAATTTCAGACCCGAAGATATATGGGGGTTTGTGGATTTTTTAAGAAAATTAAAGGGGGGGGGGGAAGTCAGAAAAACCCCTTAGGCATGGTTCCAGACATAGTCTCGATTTGAGCTTTTTAAAGACTTTAATTTATTTTCAGTTTCTCAATCGAATCCTTGTGGACAGCATTTAAACAAACTTTTGAGTCTGAAAGGAATGGTTGATTTATTTGTTCGTGAAATGCCAGAAGAGCTATATCATTCAAAATATAAGAATCCTGTTGCTGTTTTTGATAAAGGTTAATATTAATTATATTTTTTTGTAGGGAAGACCTTAGACAAGAGCCTTTATTTTTTTGACTAATTTTTGTAAATCGAAAGTTATGGACTTTATAGTATCGGGCAGTGCTGCTCGTCACAGACTAACTCGTCACAGACTTTTGAGAGGGAGGAATTTCAAAGTTGAGGAAGCGTTGGAGACTTGTAGTGTTACAATAAGGAGATTATATCATTGATTGAATTTGTTTATTGAGAAAAAAACGACATTAATTGTGTTACAACCCATTATTTAGTGATCTTCAGTAAGGTTGTCGGATAGTTGGAAACCTTCGGGTCCGAATCCGACAACTTTAATCTTCAGTCCTTCAACGAATAAGCCTTAAATTCATTATTCATATTAGTTATAAAAATATAAAAATCAATTATCTATTAATACTTTATTTTTACTTCATAAATATCAGACTAATCGAACAGTGGATTACATTTTTAAAAATAATTTTTTGTCAAACTTTTTAATATATCATTTAATATATCATCCTTTTCTTTCTTCGGTGCTTTTTGGATATGCCACCTCCCCCTCCTAGTTTGGTTCTCATTATTTCCTTCACTTATGGTTTTATTTGGTCAAACAATAACATTTATTCTTAACTAGGGTTACCGTTTCGAATCGTGCCGACGTTCGAGTCATTTTTTCGGGCTTCATTTTTATTGGTCCGGGCCGGTTGATTCTTCGGGCCAAATATCGAAGCCCGATTCTATCTTCGAACCGAAGCTGGCCGGCAACCCTATTCCTTACTTACATTTCAATTATCTTGTTTGAGGAAAATAAATGAAGGGCATGAAGAAGGGAAGAATAAATGATACTCGAACTTGGAAGGAGTGAAGGGGGGGGCTGTGTGTATCCAAAAAGTACCCTTTCTTCTTTTGTTGCTAAATCCCATTTAATTCAATTATCATCTTTCTTCTCTTCCTTTGTTGGATTCTCTTCTTCTTCGCTTTCCTCATCTTCAGGCCCTTTTTCAGAAATAACACAGGCTTCTTCAAAATTATTCCCTTCATTTCCATAATTAATTTGTGGATTAACAGATGAAGCCCCTTCTCGATTATCAGCTTGAATCGGAAAAACTTGTCGAGCTCTTATTTCTAGACGGTATTTTCGTTTCAATTCTCGTATTTTTTCTCTATTCTGTTCGTAGTAGTTTCGATTATATTCACGACGTCTTGCATTATTCCTTCGGTAGTAGTCTCGATAGACTTCTCTTCTTCTATTTCTATTAAAATATAAAGTTGAATTATATTCTAAAAGAACAAATCGTGTCCAAGATTGGGTTAAGTAATCCAATTTAAGTAATAAAACATCTTAGCTTAACTTTATTAAAAATAATTGTTAATTAAAAAGACAGCCTTTCCCACTTTCTAAAACGAGAGGTATCTAAAAGGGGTGGCGCTAAAACCCGAAATCCGACTAATTATGAAAGAAGAGACTTAATTTGGCTGTGTTTTTGCACATTGCTTTAGGACCTCATTTTCAGCGCCCGGACCTCATTACTGCGAATCCAATGTGTTCGTTATAATTAGAGTGTACATTTATATGGAAATCCATATATTTTTTCCTGAATTCCTATGGCTGTGAAACGTACGAAAAACATGTTTTTGGCTTGTTTTAGGGCTTCTAGAATGGTCTTTAAAATCCATATTTTCCATATTTGTCCATATTTAGCCTTTATATATCCATATTTTATATCAATATTTCTCTTTTTTTTGAATATTTTGATTAATATTAGGTCATTTTTTGTTAAATTTTAGTAAAAATTGATGAAAATTTTCAAAATTTTGGAAATTTTTGGTCAAAAAATTTTTTCAAAAATTTGTCGTAAGAATTTATTTTCAAAAAAATTTTAACATAAATTTTAAATCCATAAAATCTCTTAGAATACTCTTAAAATACAAATTTAAAGGCAAAGTTATTGTTTTCTACATAAAATACTGATTTTTAAAATATCTTTTTACAATTTTTTGATCCATATTTCGGGATTTTATATCCATATTTAGCGCTTATTTCCATATTTATATCCATATTTCAGGATTTTATATCCATATTTTATGTCCATATTTTTCGATTTTATATCCATATAAATGTACACCCTAGTTATAATGAGGTCCAATGCTGGGTATTGGGCATTTGTTGGCTCCGACTCAGAACTTTTCCATCTTGGCTCCGCCCTCCGGCTTTCAAAATCCTAGCTCCCGGAGCCATACCCAGCACTAATGAGATCCAACTGTATTTAGTCTCTTTAAATGCCAATTACAGCACAAATTTCACTTAATCTTCGAATAAATTCCAACCTTTCATCTTCCTGTTTCTTCCTTTCAATTTCCCTCTCTTTCTCTTCATAGTAGTCTTTAAATTTATTACTTTTACTTCCTATTTCACGTCCAAATATCCCTTTCATTTTATTTTTGTTAATTTTGGGTTTTGGCTCTTCATTTTGACTTTCCGCTTTACCCGACGATTCAGGCTCATCATTCGATTTTTTATTTTTATCTTTTGGTTTAGACCCAGTTTCCTCATTCAAATCTTTTTGATCTTCATTTTCCATTGAAGTAATTAAACTCCATAATATTCCATTGAATATTAAAAGGATTAAAATATTACTAATTTTCATCCTAAATTTCCGTTTTTACTAGAGAGCGAGCTGGATCTGGATTTAGACCTTGATTTTTCCTGGATCCCGTGTCCAGATCAAGACATTTTTCAGAGTTTCTTGATTTTTCCTTGATTCAAGGTCAAGAATCTGGTCAAGATACCCAACCAAAATCAAGAATCAAGGTTTTAGAAATGCTAATTTATACTATTTTTATGAAGACAATTATTGTTTCAACCTATGGCTGAACGGGGTAATTAATAGGAAAGGGGGGTGGGGGTTTATTTGAGTAAATAAGGTAATAATTAAAAACAAAAATATTTGCTTAAAAATTTTCATAATGTTTTTTTTAAATTAAACAACAATTTTAAAAGAGATTTTGTTTACATGAATGCCCTTATCTTACACGACTAATAATTATGAAATGGATTCATATGGTGTAAAATGCCGCCAAAGTCAAAGAATATTATATAGTCTGAGAAAATAAAAATAAAATGTTTTTTTGTACTTTTCTGTCAAAGAAATATTTCTCAATATCCCCTTCATATGATTTCACTCAACTAAGTTTTGAAGTGATTTTTTCGAATTTGAAATTTTTTCTAAAAATCCTGGTAGCCAATATATAGACTGACATTGAGAGCACTATTAGATCATTCAACATTTTTTTTCTGTTTCTAATTTTGATCATTTATAGGGCAAGTTGCTCTAGCAAAAACCTATAAGGAAAAACAGATGGAAGA